TTCACCCAACAATATATAACTTGAATACTTCCGTTACATATATAAATATATATATTTATTATACTCTTCTATTGTTCTCAATTGAATGAGGAAGTAAAAAACTGAATGAAATTTCAATATATTAAAATACTCAAATAGTTTATGGTGAATTTTTCATACTATGAGTAGTATATTTGACATCACTTATAAATCACGTTTAATATATTTTTCTAAACATATTTTTTGTCGACATTTGAAAACTGTTAGTAAAATGTGACCTTTTTGTAGATATATTAAATATTTTTAAAAACTTATTTCAGTAGCTAAAATACATTTCTTATATTTTTCATTTTCTTTTTCGAATTTGAGTATTACTCGTGTTTTGAAGTGCTCAACAATATTTCAGAGATATTTAATGTGAACATGAAAAATAGAAAAGCAATAAATGTGGGAGTTACAGATAAAAAACTGGTTTATCTTTACAAACCATTACCAATTGCAAGTATTTATCTAGACATAGCATTTAAAAATATGCTATTTATAATTTTTAAATGCGTTTTATTAACTTTAGAGATTGAAAAATAATCCTAAGTAAATTAACGTCTAACTTTTTATGCAAAATGGTATATCAAATAATTAAATAATTCTACGATTCCTTTATTTTAAAAAAATTATTTAAATAATAATAATGTCATATATAGTAACACAAATAATTTTATATTTCTTTACCCCGCGATTACTAACTTTTCTCTAATTGCTACGCTCTTACGAAAACTAAAATTATCGTATCTACTAATGAATTTATGATAAATATTAATAATGATTTTGGAACAATAATTATTATATTTGGATAAATAATTATTATATAATAACAATAATAATTATTATATTATTTGACTACGTAAGGGTTTCCGATAAAATTTGAATTGATTTCAAGAAAAATTCAAGGCACCTCTCATCTCATATTGTTTGCTACACATCAGAGTACCAATGACACACATTTTAGGAGCCCTTACCCTAACCCCTTGATTGTGAAGCTAAAGTTAATATACATACTTATTGCGAAATAGTTAAGTCATAACTCTATAAATTATTTCGCTTTTAAACAATTGTTTTAATAACAGGGTCAAAGTTAATATAATTAATAATTATTTTTAAAAAAATCAACAAAATTCGAACTTCTAACAGAAAGAAGAACGCCTTTTCTTATGCTGTTTGTTTAGTAGTTTACCTTACTGGTATGGTTAATACTGATTTTTATGTTATAAACAAGTTCATATGCATGAGAATATGTTCGAAAAAACAATATCTCTGAATAGGGAAAAATTAGAATAAAAAGTACTAATTCTTCCATCCAACAATGAGATATGCATGATGAATCTCAATTTGATCGTGAAAACAAAAGCAATTTTAAAATGCTCCTTCATTTTGAAGTATTAAGCAGTGTTTATTAAGCATAGGAAATATTTTCTTTAAATGGCCTAACTTAAAAATCATATCGCTCATAAACAAAAATCTTCTGTGCAGTTTGAAAACAAATTGATTTTATGACGATTGCCAATGTATTTTTTGTTGGTCATTGAAACTATAGTCTTCAAAACAAAGCGAAAGATTTCAGCGTAAATTAAAAAAAAATTGGCAAGAAATTTATAATTTAGATATTCAATAAACATTACATTTAGATAATCACAAAACATTTTAGTGAAGGAAAAATACAGTACATATTATCGAAAAAAACTATTAAAGTTATATGAAATTATATAACATACTATTCATAAAAAAAATCCCCTGTTAACGTCAAAATAAAATTCGAGTTTATTTTTATCAAAATTTTATTTATTATATGTAAATATAGTTTTTTTAATCTTTAAAAAAACACGATGTTACCTGTCGATTTGGCATACACTTTAAGATAAATGATCTGTTTTTAATCTATTTCGTTTAAAAAACTTTTTAATTTAATTGTATTAAACAAAAACGTTCTAAAAAAGGTTAAATAAAATATATACTTTTACTTTAAAGGTCAGTGTGTTACTTTCTTAAAGAAATTTCGAGAAAATTACAGTACATGAAGTATGGCATAAATTAAAGGTCTTTCAAAGACCTATTTACATTATTGTCCCAGACTGGCGTGCATTTGCAAATTTATGGTCAAAGCAAATTTTGTCATTGATCATATTTAATGATTTAATTCTGATTCTAGAACCCTTTCATGTCATAAAAATAAATCATAAATCTAACGTAAATATTCGATATCAACTCAGGAAATGATATAAAATTCTACTCTTAAATGTTAATTGAATCCCTCATATCCTCTGGACCGTAACGCCATACTTGCAAATAAAAAACAAATCGAAAAAAGTCGTTCTGTTCTATGCTTTATCTTTGCAATTCGAATCTGTTTTATCTAACTTGCTTTGTTCTAAATATTTTTTTTTCCTTTTTAGAATTTTCTTCCTTTCATTTATTTTGAATATATATTTTTCATGTTTTGCCCTCCCCATTCTTTTGATACCATTTCAAAATGGGTGGGTTCCATTTTTCATGGTTACAGTTAGATCGCCAGATAATATCAAGCGACGATTTAAATCGTTTGCTGTTATTTTTCGCACGAAATCTACAGAGAACAACAAAAGCAAATAACCATTTTGTCTTTTGTTAAAGTTCTCTTTTGTATTTTAATCGTTATTTAATCTGATAACTTACATGTTTACTTCATTAATTCTACATAATATAATGAGTGTGTGGTAGTCAAGAAAAACGGCATACCCCCAAATGAAATTCCCTAGTAATTTATCATTTATAAAATGAATTTAATCAAATATGAAGCATGCTTCAAAATAACTGAACAAAAATTTAAAATAGTTTCTATTAAGACTATTATTCCTTTATAACGTTCCATGTTACAATAATTTTTGGAGCATAAAAATTCGAGAAAAAAAATCCTTCTGCTATGATCATTGTCTTCACTTCAAAATTTTTAATCTTCTTCTATAAGCTAAAAATAAATACAGTACCCATCGTACATTCCAAAATTAAAAGAATTCATTCTGAAATTTTAATTTTAATGAAACGGATATTTTTTAAAAAAAACGAGTATTTTGAATCAAAGTGAAAAACTTCCCATATTGAAGCATTGATTATTCGACTGTTTTTTATTTTTTTATTTTACTTTTTTCCCCATCAAAACATTTTATATCTACTGTTACGAATAACAAATTATAAAACTAGAAATGTAACCTTCAAGAGTTTTGACACTTAGCAAAATTGTAGATAATTTCGATAAATAAAATAGAAGAAACTTGTTTTTAAGTTCGAAAGAAGACAAGACGCTAATTTATAATGCTAATTTATAATAAAATTAACAACGAGCTCTCTTTTTTGGAGATTTTCCTATTTTCTGTAGTTGGTCGCAGTTATAATGCAAATTTTTTTTTTGTTATTTGAACTAAAAAAAAGTCAAAAATCATGTTTTTCATTATTTAAAAATATGCAGAGAGATTTAAAAATATCCAGAAAAATATGCAGAGAATAACAGGAGATCAAGTTGTTCAAAGCCGCTGGATTTAAAACTCGCTGCAGAGACTCAAAGAGTTAAATAAATATTTCATAAATAATTCTTTAAAAGAAAGTTTTTTTTTAAAAAAAGTATTGAAGCATAATATCTAAATAATAATAAATATAAATGACTAATATTGAAAATTAAATAATATTGAAATAAATAATGTTGAAAAATATATCGTCTTGAAAAGTAATATTTCTTTTTTCCTTTTCAAAGAACAATATATTTGATTCAAGTACTAGTATTTTCCTTTATTTTTCTATTCCCTTTAAAATTGAATCATAAGAAATGTGAAATGTTGATATCGAAATAAAATTGTTCAAACTTGACGTAAATAAATGATCAACACTTTCTTTACGTTGTGATAAATAGTTTATGATTTATTATAGAAAGTGCATCGTCAATTTATCAACAGCTTTTGAAACATAAAATTTACTCTATGAAAGGAATATTATTTACATTATTCACTTACATATTTTAAAGTACAGTAGTTTTCTCTTTAAAGTTTTTTCTTCTTCTTTTCTTTTACATGTAATATATTAACTTTAGTATTTTTTTTATGATAAATGAAATAGTTCGATATTTAATATAATTTTATTACAATGATCATTGCAATAGACAAGTTTAACAGTAGTTTAAGCATAAATATGATTTTCAATCAAATATTTATGTTCCATCTTATGTGAGTTTCGTCCTTTAGAGAGAAATGGCTTAATTTTATAGTCTCTTAAAAGTTTTTATGTTTCTCTAAATATTTAAAAGGATTTTATTGAGAATTTATGTGTGAATGTCTTTTTTTTTTAGAAATCTTATATTGCTGTAATTTGTTAAAAAATTAATTTAACATACTTTCGGCTTCAGTTTACATTGACTTTTGCTAAAAGATATCCTGCTTAAAATAAGAAGGCTAGTTTCCATCGACTTAATGTAAACAGTTTCTATAAGGGCCATGTGTTTAAAGAAGGAAAAACAGTATTTAGGGGTTCAGCCACAGGGAATGTTTTTGAAATGGCGGGATCGCGCCACTTTTCTTAACCACTGCTGGGGTTGGGGATGAGGGAATTGTTTATCTTGTTATTTATGGTTAGTTTTTGGATATATTTTTTCATTAATTATTAACAGTACTGTACATTTTTATTAAAATATGACTTATTTTCCACGTCTCATTGAAAATTGTTCTTTCACCTGCATTCTTTTTACCATAAGAAACCAGATTTTATTACGTTATTTGGTCGAGCTAAAGGGAAAAAGGGACAAAAATGCCTCGCAAATTTGTCCTGGAAGAGTATATTGTTAAATCATATTATAAATAGCTATATATACTTGTAAAGTAAATTAAATTTTTAGGCGAAAATGTTTCTAAAATAACATAGTCTATGTATCTTAATTTGTTTTTTTGTGAATATTATGTTATGCACTTTGGAAGGTAATTAATTTCATAATTTTTCTTTCTTTCTAGTCAGTTGACAATTTTGATCTCAGTATGATGAACGGCAACGTGCAAGAAAACGGAGAATATATGAATGTTGATCATGTAAGTATCATTAGAATTTCTTTTTGATAACTTTTTTTTTAAATTCAATCTGTACATAAATCTTTTTATGATTCTAACATTTAAGGATGTTTTACTAAACGAATTAAACTATCTTCCATTGCTATTGAAAAAGATTCGTTCATTATTTCTTAAGTCATTTTCTTACGATGAGTTAAAGAATTTGATTATTTCACTGTCTGATAATGATGCATTGTTTAAAAGCGTCAAACATAAAAAAGAGTTATTGAAAGATTAATAATTTAATTTTCATCGTGAGAAATTTTAATAGAAAAGCTAGCTTGAATTTTATAATTTTTTTTTAAATTTAAATTGATCTGAAAAATATCCATATGAAAAAAAAAACATTCTCATATTTCTGTTCATCTTTTTTTTTCGAAATTCCATTCTACGATTCTCGAGGAAGTTCAAATGTTCCCCGGGTTCAGCAGTTTCACCTCTTAATGCGATCATATTTGAAAATAAAAAGCCGGCAATGAAGATTCACTGTGGTGATGCATTTCAGAAACTTCCTGTCTGCGAACCTTCCAACCGTGAAGAATTTGGAACAACGGAACTAATCTAACTGGGAACGTTCGAATTAAGAAAATTTTTTATTTCCTCACTATGAAATAATTGAAATTTTACTTAAAAAGCAATGATAATCAAAATTCTTATTCGAGCATTTCCAAATGTGGTTGCAGACACGTTGAAAAATTTGAAGATGTTTATAGGAAAGCTAAGTGCAGTCATTATTAAAGAAAGCTGCCAAATGGAATAAGTATAGTTTTAGCTCGAACATGTTAAGAAGCTAAGTACAATGTTAACAGGGATGTGGAAAATCGTTCATAGAGCTTAATATTTTGTTAAAAATTATCTGATTTTTTACGACCTTAAAATTCAGACTACTCAAAAAGGTAAAAAAAATTAAAAATTAAATCTGACTATATTTTTTATCTTCTTTTTCTTTTTTGAAATTTGTCTTTCTTACCGAATTGGATGATCTCATCTTTGTTATGTTGTTCTTTTTCTATATTTCTATATTTCATTTACTCATTTTGCATGTTTTTCCTTTAGTCTTATCTTACTTTGAAATTATCGAGATCTGGACATTTTTTTATTCTTATTTATTGTTAGGTAACATAGGGGAACAAACTTTTTGTTTCATTTATATGTATACTTGATATAGCCTTAATCGGATGTAAATCTGAGATTAGTTTTGCTTCTTAAAGCTCCAGTTTTTTTTTAAAAAAAATGTCATTTTTAGTCTATTCTTTTTCGTAAAGTACACGTTTAGAAACGTTGTATAAAACACGGGATCGCGTAAATGGTACGACTAATTTCTAAGAGAGTTTGGGCATATCATCAGGATTAAAACTGCAGAGAAACTCATGCCCGGAAATGTTAACACCGGGAATAAAAATAGAAGGGCGCTACCCTTATTATAACCTGTTCAAAAGCACACGTAGAAACTATAAACTAAGAGTATCATTTTTATTTTTATATCTTATATCCGTCGTTGAACAGCCGACCCAATTTTGGGTTTACAACTGCTAATGTTCAACTTCGTAGCCTTGTAATTTTGAACCAATCCAGAAGACAAGGAAACTCCTGGATCAGTACCCCCAGAGGTATTGATATGTTATGGGAACATGGTGGACTTTGTGACTGGACGGATTTAATACGTGCATCAGTCACATTTTCTACACGGGGAGTCTTCGGCTGGCGGGGATCGAACCCACGAACTCTTGGACATGGGCCCAGTGCCCTACCAACCAGGCCTTTAAAAGTATCTTTTAAAAAAATCTGAAGCATGGAGTTAGGAATCGTATGCAAGTTTGAAATCAGCTATAGGAAAGTATTTAAAATCTGTTAAAAAACTCCGCATGCAACAGAAAAGAAAAGAAAAGTATTCCCCAGTATAATTTAAAAACATTTATTGCCGTTAAGTAATTACATGAAAGCAAAAAGTTGCTATTCTATTTTACATTCCATAAAATACTGTACTGCATACCTGAATCGGTAGCTGAAGATTCGTAATTATAGTAAGGAATATCATGTTGGTTTCAATACAAGTTTGAATACACATGCACAAATTTAAAAACGTTATATAAAACAAGGGATAAAATGTTGCGTCAAATTCAATCAGTCAATCATCAATATTCAAATTGCGTAAGACCTATTATTGGAAATTTCATCATGCGGGTTAGTGGCACTTCCCAATTATAAATTGTTTCTTCATATGCTTCTGAACAGTTCGTAATAAGGACGATCCCCTAGCCGAGTACGACGTTTCCGGGCATGGGTTCCTACTTAATTGTAATCCTGATAATGTGCCCCTAGAAGTTCGTCGAAACATTTACACCACCCCTAGCTTTATATAACGTATTTAAACTTTGTATTTCCACAAAAAAATAGACTGAAAATATCATTTTAAAAATACTTTAGCTTTAGAAGCAACACTAATCTCAGATTTGAAATCTTTACACCCAAATTAGGTAAGATCAAGTATTTTTATAAAAGCAACAAAAATTTGCTACCCAGTGTTATGGTCGAATAACAAAACTTTAATTTAGTTAAAGAAATCTACAAATTTAAAATAAAAATATTAACCTGTAAATAAAAATTAAACATATTAATAAAAACCAATAAAAATATATAGATTTTTTTGTGAATTTTTACAATTACATTCTGAAATTCATGTTGAATTATAAATTACTACCCAATTTATAGAAGAGTTTTTGCATTTTAATCTATAATTTTCTCCAAAAATAGATTCTTTCAACTCCTTTAGATTTAAAAAAAAAAAACTCTTAACCTCAAATATAAATTCATATACAAATAACCCGAAGTTACATCGTTTTAAAAGGTCCGCCCTGACGAAAACTCCCTCAAAATCCATGCCGAAAGAATCGGAAGACACTGCTTGCAACGAACTGCGAAGTTGTCAGAGACGAGTTGAGTTGTCGGATTTCTTAATGACAAAGGAATTTCTACGATTAATTGGAATGTCGGTAATGAAGGGATGGCCGAAAATCTGGGGGATGAGAATAAGGGTGAGGGGTGAGAGAAGGGATGTTGCTCGTGTTATTAACGGGAAAAGAATCAAGGGGATGCCTTTCAGCCCTTAGGGGGAGTTCGTTAAAATTGGAAATTGGGGGTGTCGAAAGACGATAGCGAACTGAAGGAGAAGACGCTCTTAATTGCAGAATACTTTCGTATTAGAATTGAAATACATTAATTGTTTGAGAAGGAATATATTCTTTGTATTGTGAATATTTGAAGGGTGAATATAATTAGAAGTGATGTCCGAATAAACAGTGAAAAGAAAGATTCTGTCATAGCACCTTCGCTTACACCTTCTTTAATATATTTCAGTCAGATCGATATTATTTGCATTATGTATTCCTTGCGTTAGTTCTCATGATAAAACTTAAAATTTACTTATGAAATAATCATTGACGTAATACTTTATATTTTTTTTGTCCAATTTTAATAATATTTACTAAGTTAATACCCCAAAATAAACATTGACGTAATACTTTATATTTTTTTCTCCAATTTTAATAATATTTACTAAGTGAATATCCCAAAATAAACATTGGCGTAATACTTTATATTTTTTTATCCGATTTTAATAATATTTACTAAGTTAATACGCTTCTTATGTTGTCAGTAACACTTTTTTTTTGTTTATAATCGTCGTTGAACATTCGTTGTTGATTTTTGGGCTTACGACTACTNATAAACATTGACGTAATACTTTAATATTTTTTTGTCCAATTTTAATAATATTTACTAAGTTAATACCCCAAAATAAACATTGGCGTAATACTTTAATATTTTTTTGTCCAATTTTAATAATATTTACTAAGTTAATACCCCAAAATAAACATTGACGTAATACTTTATATTTTTTGTCCAATTTTAATAATATTTACTAAGCTAATACCCAAAATGAACATTGACGTAATACTTTATATTTTTTTTCCGATTTTAATAATATTTACTAAGTTAATACGCTTCTTATGTTGTCAGAAAAACTTTTTTTTTTGTTTATAACCGTCGTTGAACATTCGTTGTTGATTTTTGGGCTTACGACTACTAATATTCAACTCCGTAAGTTTTAACCCAATCCAGAAGACAAGGGAACTCCTGCATCAAGTATTGGGAGAAATTGGCCTTCGTGGAGGACTTTAAGTAAAACTTATATATTTTATTTTTATAACCGTCGTTGAACAGCCGACTCAATTTTGGGTTTACGACTACTAATGTTCAACTCCGTAGCCTAGCAATTTTGAACCTATCCAGAAGACAAGGAAAGTCCTTGATCACTACCCCAGAGGCATGATTTGTTATGGGAACATGGAGAACTTTGTAACTGGACAGATTTAACGTCCGTCAGTCACCATTTACTACACGGGGAATCTTCGGCCAGCTGAGATCGAACCCACGACCCCTTGGACATGGACCCAGTGCCCTACCAACCAGGCTATCCCGTCCCAAAGTAAAACTTTTAATGTAATCTATAATATTTAATAAATAATTTGAGAGGGTGAAATCCCACATATACGAAGGATTTTTGTAATAAAAGTTTTTAGCGCCCAGAGTAAGAAAGATTAGTCTGACGGAACTCTGGCTTGCTAAGCTTTCCTCTCCATTGATTAGTGTGTTATATACGAATTTCACTCAAATCATATGGTTTAATGGTATAGTAAAGGATTCTTGATATAGTGATAAATATTCTATGATGAAAAATCTCCTGCGGATTAGTAAATATCTTTTGGTATGCAGTAAAATATTTTATGTTATGACAGTACATTTTAAGAAGTAAAAATATTGTTGTTTGAATGGAAATGAGCGGAATAAAAAAGAAGCTGATAACAAATTATTTATGAGGTACTTTTCATTATGAGATAGTTGTAGTTATTGTTTATTTACGCCGCACTAGAGCTGCACAATGAGCTTTTGGCGACGGTTCTGGGAAACATCCCAGTGAATAA